TTTTCCTTTTTTTTTTTTTTTTTTTTTTCCCTCCCTTTTCCTTCCCTCTGTTCTCCTCGTCCTCAGCTGCACAGTCACCCCCCCAATCACTGGGGTAGTCAATGCTGGCAGCCAGGAGTGTATGCTCGAAGTATAGGAATTCTCAGTGAGTAGCAAGGCAAGGTTGCCTATCCCTCCCAGACAGGGATTGCTGGTGCCCCCCAGCGCCCCCGTTTGGACCCTGACTGGGGGCCCTAGTAGTAAAAAAACAGAAGAGGTATGGTAATGGGAGGCTGGACCCGGTTTCTCAGCACAGGAATCACTGCAGCTATCTCACAACTCACCTCTTTTTTACCACAATGTAAGGGGCGCTGGACCCGGTTTCCAACAGGTGCTGCTCCCCACCAATAGATGGAGCCTTCCTGGGGAGGCTGGGGGTGCTAGCGCTGTCTGCTCATACCAGCACCTCTAGCACCGCCCGAGTTTAAAAAAAAAAAAAAAAACTGGATCTGCTGCGACATTTTTCCTCTTAAGGAACCAGGGAACCCAGCAAGTTACCTTAATGAAGAAAGCAAAGCACAAGGCACCTTCAAAACAAGCACCCTGCGAAGAGTAAGAGTTATTATAGGGGAAAGAAACAAGGTTTTCAAACCACAGTCAAGTATACAAGAACTAGAAATAGATCCGACAGAATGGACTTGGAGCACCCCCATCCGTGGAGCCACTATACCACGGCTTCACAAAATAACTGACTACAACCCCATACTAGGCTACAACCTTTTTTCTACACCCATCTCAATAAGCAATATCCTGCAAAAAAGATGGACAAAAGAAGAACCCACTATAATACACCCACAAAGAACCATACCATGGTCATCAATTTTCTACACTAAACCGGTCAGACTAGCCAGTCTACTTTGGTTAATCGCATACAGGGCAGTGTCAGTCAACCACTGGTTGGCACAAAGGCGCAATAAGGCAAACCGAACACAGCAAGACTCTTGGTGCAAAGTCTACAACCGACAGAGACCGGAAACACTTAACCACTGCTTCATCGATTGTCCAAAAGCCAGAATCATATGGCAAGAGATGGAAAACATATGGAAATCCTTCTCTGACAAGCCCGTCACGATAAGTCCCGCCACAATTTTCCTCGATGCAGATCAGAACCCGCCCCTCAAAGGTTTTGAGGCTTTCTTCTTCATACTTATCAGGAAGGGAATCATCTGGGGCCTATGGAAAAGAAGGTGTGCACTAACCTTTGGCGATAGTCCTATCACACCCGAGAACCCACTCAACACAATAAAACATACAATAGAAACGGAGTTACATATTCTCTGGACCAAAACTCTAAACAAATAAACAGTGCCCCCGATAAAAAAAACTAAGTACAGACGCCGCCCGGCCGGGCGGGGCCGGGTGGGCCGCCCGGGCAAACCGGGCAGGCAAAAAAACACCCCATAATTTTTTTTATTTTTTATTTTGAAGGCGGGGTCCTCCTGTGCTTGGCGAGAGGACCCCGAATCTGCAATAAAATTCTGGTTTGGGGGGT